TAATTAAACTTCTTTACAAATAATTAAATAAAGAAATTACATTATTTGAACTTTATATTTATAAGATACTAAGACTAAAGACTCAGACAGAGCCCTTGTTAATTCAAGAGTTATAGGAGTTATCTGCGATCTAAACCTAATAGACTATTTGTTTATCTGTAATTTTTTTATATTTGCTATATAAATTAATTGATATATTTCTTGTTATATACATTTAATAATGAAGATAAAATAAGAGTTTTTTAAAAACCTATTTCAGTAGCATATATAGTCAGGCTATATATGGTTTAAAATTTCAAATAATATATAAAATATATTATTTTAACAAGAAAAATTAAACTAATAAAAATTTATTTATTTTATTTTTTTTTATAGTCAAGATTAGCCTCTTTGGCTTATTGCTTTTATTAGATATTAGGATCATATGGTGCTCTCAAAGGGGCCTCAGACAAGTATATTCTGACAAAGATACATTCTAGTCATATCTGCACCTTTTGGGTGTCTAATTAAGTAATCTACCTATATGCTAGGTGCTACACTAGATGCTGTACCTGTAACCCACTATTACTTGAATTATCTAATTAAACTCTCTGATCTGAGTTTCCTATGTCAATCCATCTAACCTCACTCAGAACATGCGATACATAAGTCAGTCCAAGTTCCAAGATCATTGTGTCCACCTATAGGACTATTAGCATAGTTAACTGATTCATCCTTGAGTGCATCACCTGCTAGAGCAGTCTGGTACCCACTATTCTTGTATTATCTAGTCTTCTTCGGTAACTTACGCCGAGTCTGAAGACAAGTACTTGCGAGCTAAAGCTGCTACAGTTACCTACTACCACCCTTATAGAGTTCACCCAAACCTCGGTACACCTACAAACTTTTACTGATCATCTCAGCTATTCCAAACTACCAATTCAGATAGCTCAAAAGGGCTATGGTCTGCCCCTAGTCCCCATGATTGGGTCCTTTTCCTCCAGTTACTTTTCTGGCAGCCTGGTTGGTAGAGTGCCTTGCTGAATACTTCGGACCTGTTCAGTTTATCCAGTTCCTCAAGTATTAATCCGTATATAGTACCATCAAAGATCTGTGCTACTTCTCTATTTAGGACTTCCCAAACGAGCGCTCTACTGCTGTATTGGCCTTGTGGCTTTCTGCGATTCTGAAGGACTTATCTTGGGTTTGTACTGACTAAACCAGCTTGTATGCCTTTGTATAACTCTTTTATTACACAAATGCTCCAGAACCTTCCAATTTTTATCTTAGTGTGACCACAGTTACAGGGTCTTGAGTTTTCTTAACCATGATGATAGTTGCTGAATCCATTTTTCTAAATTCAATTTTTTGCCTTTCGTGGAAATTGAACTTATATTCTACTACTTTGAAGTGTGACAACTTCACTACTTCACTAAGTTGCCACACCCTTGCTAAAAAAGTTTAATTGGTAAAAAAAGTCAGAATTAATTAAAAAATTTTTGAGAATTTAAAAAATTTTTAAAATTTTATTAATAAATTCTTAAAAAATTTTTTTTTTTTTTTTTTTTTTTTGATTTTGCTGTATACATGATAAGATAAGTTACAAATTTGTATCAAGATGATAATAACTAGGAATCGGGAACCGATATAAATCTGAAGCATTACTGTATTTGGTAATAATATCCCTGCTGATAATCAATTGTTTTTAAAATAGTTTTGTAATCATACGTCATACAGAGAGATAGACAAAAAATTTCAAAGTTACATTATTGATATGTTAATTATAATAATTATATTAATGCATCAAAAAGAAATATTTGATAGTTGAAATGCATTAAAAATATAACTTTTGTATCACTTAATGCACAACTAACAAAATTAAAATTATTACTTTTATTATTACTTTTGTTATAATTACAGTAATTTACATAATCACCCAACATTTATGTTTTTAATAAATACATTTACTGGTTTATTTTAATGTTTAGATTATTAGATTTTATAGTAAATCCAATATTATTATAGTAAAGATACAACTCAAAGAGCATCAGCTAATGCTTTTCCGATATCTGATGCGAAGTTATTATTTCGAAGATCTAACCAAGTTAAGATAGTGTTCTTGCAAAGAGCATTAGCTAATACTTTTCCACCTTTTGATCCAAGATTATTTCAACTGATAAATAATATCATTAAGGTAATGTTTTTGCAAAGAGCAACAGCTAATGCTTTTTCACCTTCTGATTCAAGATTATTCGTAGTAAGATTCAACTTTGTTAAGGTAGTGTTCTTGCAAAAAGCATCAGCTAATACTTTTCTGACGTCTGATCCAAGATTATTATTGCTAAGATTCAACTCTGTTAAGGTAGTGTTCTTGCAAAGAGCATCAACTAATGCTTTTTCACCTTCTGATCCATATTCATTCGAAGAAAGATACAACGTCATTAAGGTAGTATTCTTACAAAGAGCATCAGCTAATGCTTTTCCACCTTCTAATCCAAGATTATTTGAAGAAAGATACAACACTGTTAAGATAGTGTTCTTGCAAAGAGCATCAGCTAATGCTTTTCCACCTTCCGATCCAAGATTATTCTCTCAAAGAAACAACATCATTAAGGTAGTGTTCTTGCAAAGAACATCAGCTAATACTTTTGCGACGTCTGATCCAAGATTATTATTGCAAAGATCCAACGTCGCTAAGGTAGTGTTTTTGCAAAGAGCATCAGCAAATGCTTTTTCATCTTCTGATCCAAGATTATTCTCACTAAGATACAATGTTGTTAAGGTAGTGTTCTTGCAAAGAGCATCAGTTAATGCTTTTTCTCCTTCTGACCCAAGAATATTCGAGCTAAAATACAACGTCATTAAGGTAGTGTTCTTGCAAAGAGCATCAGCTAATGCTTTTCCATCTTCTGATTCAAGACTATTCGAAGAAAGATCCAACGTTGTTAAGGTAGAGTTCTTGCAAAGTGCCTTGATTAACTCATTTATTTTTTCTGATCCACAACATTTTGAAGAAAGATCCCAAAATGAAGCACTATCTTTATTATTAGGAGTATGCTGACTGTTGTTAAGGATTTCTTCATATAGTTCTAACGCTTTGAGAAATTTGCCTTGGTTAAAAGATTTGTGTGCTTCTTTTCTCATATTTTCAATATTGCAATCTTGCGTTAAAGTATTTGCATTAGACAAAGATGAATAGCTTGAGCTTGTTGAATCAGGTAAATAAAGTGGAGCTGATGTCATGATCTGAAGTGAGGTTATATCTTGATTTAATGAAAAGGGTTTATTATTTTTAATTGATGATTCATTAGAGATAGGATTATCTGAAGGTTTCTTGGAAATAATTTGAGTTAAAAAATTAACAGGATTAAATTTTTTTAGAGTTTTGTTTGAACTATTAGTTAGATCATTAATTTTAATTGACTATTCATTAGTTACCTGTTGCTGTAAATCATTATCAACGAATTGTTTAAAAGTATCGAAAACTTCCTTTGTTTCTGGATAATTAGCAGGATCGCAATCCCAACATTGTTTGTAAATTTCAATATATTGAAGCGGTGTTTCTTCTATAGATTCTTCTCTATTTCCTTGATATATGTGAAAACAGAGCTCCATTTTTGATTCAAAAGTTTGAAAAGGTGGTCTTTCGCTAGAAATTTCCCAAAAGATTATACCAAAGCTATAGACGTCAGATTTTTTATCCCTTTCTTAATTAGGTACTGAGGTTCGACGTAAGCCAGCATTCTGTAAATGGTCGAGTTTGAAGTCATAGATGTCTCGTTTATCTGTTTTGATAGACTAAAATCTGCAATTTTTGGTTGTTTTCGATGAATCAATATATTTTTTAAATGCTATAAAATATATCAAAACATTAATTGCTACAGTTAAAACTTGCAACCATATAAAAATAATATACATACAAGATCTCTATGAATAATATTATTTTCATGCAAAAATAAAAGTCCAAGTACAATTTCCTTAGCGATAAGTAGCTTGTCTGTCCACTGCAATTTTGTAAAATTTGCTTTCAGGTATTCTTATAAATTTCCGTCGCTGACATATTGTAAAACCATATTATAATATCCATTATTGTCTAATTAATTGTAATAAATATTTTTAATAGTTATTTTACACAAATTTAAAACATTTTGAATTTTATATTACTTTTCGTAACTCCGTAGAATTTAATAATATTTGGATAGTAATCAACTTTTCATAATAACTTAAGCTTTAATATCATAGTTGTAGAAATATAAAAAATTAGAATTATCTAAGGAAATAACATAAGTATAAATGTAATAAAGTACCTCATTGACAAAATCTTTAACAATTTTTCGTCTAACTCTACATCAGCTTCAAGCTTAAGCCATTTAAGAGAAACCGTTAAATCACAATTTTTTCATTCATATTTAAAAGATAATATAAATTGGTAAAGTTCTAAATTGATTTACATCAGCCAATCAGATCATATACACAAACACGTAAAACTGTGTTGTTATTACACAAATGTATAAATTTAGATACGTAGCGTTACAGATAGAAAATGCAACAACTATGTTTTTGATATTTCTATTATGGGTGCATCAAAGACATAATTTTGGTCATCAAATGACGTAGAAGTATGAGTCTGTCACTTCGCTTCAGACAATAATTCTAACTATCTATTGTATCTTGTATAACCACCTAAATGTAGCAAAACACCTCTTAATTTTCTGTTTATAAACTAATTTAAGTCTAGCTACCATTAGTTATAGAAGGAGAAAGAGGGTGCCCAAAGTTAGGATATAAATTAGTAAAAACATGAGTAAATAGAAAAGTTTTGGTTATGCTATTTTTGGATGAGTAG